TCGCCGAGAGATTTGCAGAGACATTCACGAAGGCATCTGTGGACTCCGAGCGGGAGTCAGCTGCAGGCGCATACGCTGGAGCCACCAAGGATTCCTCAGCCGTCTGCCAGGAGTTGCAGGCTACACACGATACTCTTCGTCACATTCCGTCTGTTGCAAAGGGGCCGAGCCTGGCATCTTACTTACGTCCACAGTGCAAAAACTGATCCAAGATTTCCTCCAGTCCCAGCAACGGATCGGTTTGCATTCAGCAGGGGTCCTCGGAATGGCAGCAAAAGCCCTGCTGTTTACATCCGCAGGACTGGAATCACGGCAGCCCACTTTGGCCCAGCATCTCTTGCCCAAGAACTCTGGAGTCGCAGGCTTTGCCTCCGAATCATTCCTCCGGATCAACTTGAGGGAGCCAATGTCCAAGGCCGTCCTGAAGTCCTTCTTTGCCTTATGTCCACAAGGCTGCATTGTCACGCTAAGCAACTTCATCTCCACGATTTCAACATTGAACCGGCTCAGGCTGCATGCCGCGACGCCAGAAGAATGGTCAGGGTAAATACTACAGCCACAAGCAGAGCGACGCGGACATGCAGTTGTCGGAAGCAGGAGGCTTTGGCCTCACGGATGACATGCTGGAACACATGGAATGACAAAGCACGGCTGCCTCGAACAAAGTCAGAGCGGCTGGGAGTGGTGCATCTGGTTTTTGCATTCAAGGCATCCTATGCCTTTGCTCTAGGACAGGCTGGTACCATCGCTGGAGCAAACGACTCCAGCTGCACAGAGCTGGCCATGAAAGTTGTGCTGTTTCCCGGCTGCTTTCTCCAATGTGAAGTTTAGTTGGGCTCGAGGCAGTCGCTTCTTGGTCGTGACAGGTGCCAGCAGCGAACTAGAGTCTAGAGTTCTATGATTGCTACTTCGCATGGCTTTCCCAGTCCCTGCATGCATACACACATGTCATGTTTCTCCACATGTACGACTTTGCTGCTGGGCGCATCTCAGTTTCACACTTCCGACGAATGTTGGCTCATTGAGTCCAGACAAAGTCCAGATCACCGCATGCTGCGCCAGGTGCATGCATGCATGCATACATTGCTCTGATCCCTTCTTTATCCACAGAAGCTTTGTGACAAACACTTGTCGCTAGTCCGCTGGTCGCAAGCCGAGTTGTCCAGGCCGAGGCAGCTGAAAGCTGGCCTTCATAAGTCACCTCGACACGAATGCGCGGCAGGCTGTCGAGCCGCCGTGAAACCGAGAGAGCATACTGACAGTTGCAGCTCTGCTCCTAGCTCTGAAGGGGTGGGCGTGTTGCTGCGTTGATACTGAGCCAAGTTGGTAGGTGAAACATGTGTACAGGTCTGTGATGAGCAACAGCTCTATCAAAGGTAAGATCACACGTGAAGCGTACCGAACACTTGCTGTTCGATGACTCTGAAAGAGCGGCGGGCTTGAGTGCTTCGTGGAATTTTCGCTACAACTACGGGGTCCAGCTTCTCAGGCCGCGAATTGCCCGTTGCGGGCTCCACCATAGATCGTGCGTCCTTCCGGGGAACGATTCTCACAAGGGGCGAAGGAAACAGGCCCTCACAACATCAATTCGCACATAAGGGTTGAACCCATGGTGTACTGGTTCTGCGTCATGACAAGGGGTGACGCCCGCATCTCGGCTGAGATCCAGCTACATGGCAGCATGAGCAAGGCGAAGGCAACCGGCGCAGAAGGTGTGAAAACCCTTTCACTTCTTTGGATGCCGAGGTCGGTACAGGTACCGAAAACATCTCCAAAGTCAGAGGTGCTCGCGGATCATGTGAATAAGTGCATGCCTAAATTACGAGCAGAGCTCGGGCGCAGAACCCCGATTCCATCTGCATGCGTAACCCTCGCACAGCCATGCCTTGTCACCGACGGCACAAAAGCCCTTTGAGTGGTGAAAACACCTCGGTTTCCGCAGGGCAAAGTCTTCAGAAGCATTGCACGGAATTGGTGCATGTCTCAAGCCTGAGGCATAGACCGAATTTTCTGGTACCCTGGGCTCGCCTTGGCATTCCGGAAGTGTCGAATCAGTCGATGAAAAAGAACTCAAACTCTGAAGGCTGCACTGCTGTCAGGGGAGGGGTTTCCAACCTCGGGCATTGACAGGACGAACCATCTACGAATCGACCTTCCGGTGACTAGCGTCTGATGCCAAGCTGCAGTTGTCGGAAATCCTTGTCCCTCTCGTGCCTCTTGCACAGTCGCAGGCACACGACAAGTGTTGCAAAAGAACCGTCAGTGTTGCGGCGACCAAGCACACACGGGCACATAGGACCCGGACTTGAAACCCTCGAAGATTTCTCGCCTTAAGAAGTTCTGCTTCGCCAATTTGAATCTGCATGGAGTCTTCAATCTGAGGAATGCGAAGATCTACGAACTCGCGTGAGGCCGCAGGCCAGGTCTGTCTGTAGATCGGCTCCAGGCTAGCAAGTTTGCCCTGGCGTGCCGTCACATCCCAAGGAACCGCGTCTTGTCGCACTCGCGACTACCAGGGCCTTGAAAGTTGATGCAATGGCACTGAGCACCTGGGCAGCAGGACATGGCGTCCGTCCAAAGGCCTCCAATGCTCCAGCAGCTAGCATGCTGAGAGCCGCACGTTCTGGTCGTAAGCATTTATCTCCCAGAGGCACTGCAGGGCATCCTTGCAACTAAACTCACGATATCCAAGGCACTGATAAGCCCATCCCAAGGCACGCGCATTCACCTGGGCTGAAGAGAGCTGATCTCTTTGCAATAATCTTTTGAGGACCTCAGCGACAGTTGGCAGAAACAGAAAACGCAAAGCAATGTGCCCAAGCAGGTTGTTCTGTCGCTTGAATGGTAGGGAAGGCTGTGGTTGTTCCGAGAAAAGTAAGGTGGCGAGGTCGAAGACAGCGGTGGAGGAGGGCATGGCCGGAGCTGTTGTCTGCATGTCAAGATCCAACCATCTCCGGGCACCGGGCATCGTTCAGATCCTGCCAGGATATTCTGATATAGTCTCATCCACTCGCCCCCAAGAAGACAGCTAGCTCCAAGCTGGGGTCCCTCAAGATGTCGCCGTCGAAGAACTTCGTCCTTGCCATCGCCTCAACGTCATGGGCAAGATGCTGCCAACGCCATGTGTTAAAAGCCTTACACTTCAAAGCATCGCACATCACTGAGTCTGTGGCCCTGCAAGCAGCCGCAACATTCTCAGGCGACATCCTCGCATCAAGTCACACGCATCCGCAGGATGCAACATTTTGAAGCGACACTGCACCGCGTCTCTCGACTTTGTTCGGCTACGCTAGTGGTTTACTGCATTTGTCTGGATATTTTGGACACATCTAGAAGCCCTTGTAGGTCTTGGTGATGCCTCCAGGGCACATGTTTTCTAAATAACCATCCATGTCCACCAGCACAACCCCACAGCACACGCCCAATCTTACTCGGGATTCGTGCGGTCCAGTAGCTTACTCCACCTAGGAAGCAGTCTCTTCTGGATGTTGCCACGTATTGGCATGCGTGTATTTGCACTGTTTCAGTTGAACCCGCCCTGGCATGACAATGAGACGTCTGCTCAAGTCGTGTTGTCGTGGAGAGACAACCCGACACAAGATATTTTGTATCAAAACCGAAAAGAGCAATATTCAGCAAGCATGATTCTGGGGTGCTGCAGCCCTCGTCAAACCCATGGTGATTCAAGGGCCGTTCTATGCACCAGTCTGCCGCAGAAGCACTCTCAAAGACTGATATGGAACGAACAGCAATGCGTCACCAGACGCAAACATTTGAAGGACAATCTAGGCTGGATGTCATCGTCATTGAAATTATTCTTTCGGAGGACAAAATGTGGGCGAACATCTGTTGGCACATTTTCCCGCTTGTTGGGCTGTTGTTGGCCACTCCAACGCTCCTCGCCTTTCCAACGGACAAAGAGCTGTTGACGAATGTTGCTTGAGCACTATTTGTTTGTCACTTGCCAGTACCACCTCGCTTCTGCACTTCAGGCAATGCAGTGCCACCATCGACAGATGTTCGTCCAGCAGGTCCTGCGCAGCTTTTTCAGCAAAGCCGGCGCCAAGATCATCATTTTCCCAAAGCTCTGCACCTGATGGCAGGGAATCGATGCACCAAGTCGGTTTATGCCCTGCTGCACTCTACCAGTATGTCTCAAGCGGAATAGACGCATGGCAGCCGGTGACCGCCGCATCCTCCCGTTTCTCCTTGTTGTGGTCTGATGCTTCCGCGTCGGCATCGTCGCCACCGACGCTCGCCGTCTGTGCTGTCGTCGTCAACGCGACGGCTGTGGCTGCACTGCTGCTGCTGCCGCCTCCTCTGCCGGCGTTGTTGTTGTTGTTGTTGTTGTGGTTGTTGTGGTTGTGGTTGTGGTTGTTGTTGTTGTTGTTGATGTTGTTGTTGTTGTTGTTGCTGCTTTTGCCGCTGCCGGCGCTAACGTTGGAGGTAGCAACCTGGCAGTGCTGTGATTGGTTTTGGTAGTTGTGTGCAGGTGGCAGGGTGTTCCGCGAACTTCTGCCTCAAGCCCCGAACAAGCGTTTCTGACGTGCCTTGTTCTGCAGTTGCCCGTCTCCGTCCCTTTCAGTCTGTAAAACGCTGCATTTCTAGACTTTAGACACAGGGCCTCGTCAAGCGTTTCAGCACTGACATCGGCATTTTCATCCTTGGAAAGACGCACAGCAAGAGCTTCTTCTGCTATGTGGGGGTTGTCAACAGCATTGAGCACACAACAAGCATGACCCGCACAATTTTTGCCGTGCCCCTGGCATCATCTGCAGATTCCTTCTCCTTCTCTTTCTCCTTCTCCCTATCCTTCTCCCTATCGCGGTCCTTCGGTCGATCTCCTCAGTTGGCAGGCTTTTCGGACAGCCAAGGTCAACGGCAAAATCTGCTGCTTGCGGGTGAAGTTCGGCGTCTCGACCTAGATCTGGACCTGGATCTTTCACGCTGGCGTGAACGCGATCGAGAGGGTTCTCGAGGCTTGCTGTCTGCCTTCTCAGCACCTGCAACTGTGGAAGACCAAAGCAGGGTATGCAAACGGATACCAACAGCCCAACCCTCTCAACGGCAGCTGTGCGATTTCCGACCGGCAATGCCTTTATCACCATCATTCCCCTCCTCCTCATCTCCCTCCTCCTCGGAGTCCTGAGTCATGCCAACCGAAGCATAAGCGGCAAGCGCCTGAGAGCATACATGGACATGCGCGAGCAGACCCCGTAAATTCTGCAGTACACGTGCATACCTCCTGCTGTGTCATGAGCCGGAAGCGGCGCAGCGCTAAGCTGTTTGGGGCACCGACCATCCACGCGAACTCCTTCTCCTTCTTCCTGAAGTCTGGTTTCTGTGCATCACTATACCCTGAATCGAAGATATATCTGAAACCTCTGGGCCCTTCTCACATGCCGGCGGCATCCCAGTCCTTTTTGTTTCCTTCTTGGTTTCTTTGGCATCTGCAGCAGTGGAGGCAAGGATCAACGTAACGCCATGATCATGCGGTATTTCTGGGGAGAGGAGCCGCTAACAGCACTGCCAGATGTTTCACGACATTGACATGCTGTTTATTTAGAGTTTCAGCTGGACACGACGGATACTGGTAGTGGTGCTGCTGGACATGACTGGACTATACCTGGTTGTGCATGCAGTTCGAGGTAACATAAGCTTCTGTATGATAATGTCGTAAAATTTGTTCGACTATACTCCTCTTCGTCAGATAGTGCGTGACTGTGTGCAGTTATCTAACGGAGTCTAACGCCATCGTCTTGGCACCAGGAGACATTGAGGCAGACCTTCAAAGCACAATAACAGCAGTGAGCCGACTGTTCCCTCCCCTGATTTGCTGGGTCGCGGAGATTTGGTGCAAAGGGCCAAAGTATCATTGGACCCTAAGTTTGGATTCTCTCTAGTTTCCTCTTTCCTGGGCCGTCCTTCCCGGAGCGACCCGCTCAAGGAATGAGCCCCGAACCTCTAAGCAAAGGCAAGCTCCGGTCAAACGCAACGAATTCCACGGTTTACATGGTTTGTTGGGACCTGGGCCCGATGTCTTCCCAGCTCGGCTTTTTCCAGATCTGTTACACGAGCGTGGGATGGAATGGGCTGCATGTCAAAAGAGGGTTGGCACAATGGAGGTTCGAAAGGATCTCTGCGTCAGTACACATGAATAGCCTTTCTTCCTACCTTGCCTTGCGTCCTTGGTTGCTGCTCACTTGGAAACGTTGAAAATGAAGTTAGGAAACCCTCGTTAAGAACCCACACCAGCCTGGTGCTCCACTGTCTTCTGTCCTTCTTTCTGGACCTGGTTTAGCAGTTTTCTCCATCCATCACGCTTTCGGAACATTGTATCTGCACCAGGGCAGGAGCATGCGGGAGCAGTCAATGAGCTTTTCTTCGCACTTTGCAGGCCGAGTATGCCCGAAACTTATCTCTCCACAAAGATGTCCAGAGCACAGAAGCATCTCAGGGTGCTCGCATGATTCCGGAATGCCTGGTTATGCCTTGTGCCATGGCCGGCACAGTCACAAAGTGTTACTGACACAAACAGGACTCCGGCACCATGAAAGTGAAACGTGGCTGCTCATCCAGCCAGAGCGAAAGCTTCTTCACTGTCTCAAATTTTCAATCCATGGGACTTTTCGCCTGGACCTAACTTTTTCTCTGTCTTACGAAAACCGGATCCGCCGTTCTGGGAGAGCATCGCACGGCTCAAAGCCTTTGCATAAATGGTCGAGTAAAGAGCGATTCCTTTCAGGTCTCGCACATACGGCACAATCGGAAAGCAAAGCGGTGCAGCGCAAGCATATGCCACCGTCTGTTGCGGAGCAGAACTGTGGCAATCCTGCCTGGTGACTTACCGCTTCTGCAAAACACTTTGCACAAATGCCTCGCAGCGTCACACAGATCACCTCATGCCAAAAAGAACAAGGAAGACGATGCTCCATACAATTTTAAGTTCATCTGAGTTGATTGACAGCAAGAAAGAAGGAGCAGCTGAGTCGCGCAGAGGCCTTCTTCTTTCGCTTAGGCGTGGCCTCTGATGCAGCCGTCTCCTGCGGGTTCCTACACTGTCAAGCGGCACTCGGCAAGCAGCTCATCAGGCCATGATCACCAAGTCAGCTGCACGTGAATCAAAGGATCAGAGGATCCCAGAATAGCTAAAACTGCACAACAAGTCAATCATTGGTTGAAGGTGTGCTGCATGGCCCTCTTTGCACCTATCATTATCATCGTCATCATGATCACCCTCATCATCTGCGTCTTCACCATCACCGTCAACATCTGTATCACCTCTTGCACATGCTCTAGAGACGAGAAAGCCGTGAACACGCGAAGCAAAGCCGGTCCAAACCAAGCCCAGAACCTCTTGACAAAAACACAAAATCAACCGTGTGAGCTCCTCTTCGGCTTCTACAGCCCTCTTCCTCCAAAGAACAGGCTCAGGCCAAGGCAACTTCCGGACATTGTGCAAGTTGCAGCTGTGGCTCTTCTTCTTTTTTGGTGCTGGCGTCTCCTCTGCCTGGCTCCGACCATCTACTTTTGATTATTCCGGTTCCTCTGCTTCCCACGAGAGCCCAAACGGCCACATGACATGGTCGAAGCCTCCGCTTGAACTTCGGCCGCCGGTCTCTTCCTGGGCCACCCAATCAATCACGCGTCTCTGACCCAAGAAGCGGTGGCCCATCACGATCCTCGAAGATCTAATGCGGTCGAAGGACTTCTTGGGCTTTACTGCTCCTTCCTCAACCTCCTCACCACCTGCTGCAGCCTCCGCTGCAGCCTTCGCCTTTTTCGCCCTCTTTTTACGCAGCTTCGTCACCTTCCGCATCTGCTGCTTCCCAAACTCTCCAAAGTCGTACAGGCATACACAAAACACTTCGAAGGCATGAGCACCAGCCTCCTTAATGGCTTCCTGCATGACTTCTAGGTTCTTGCGCGGCGTGGTGCCCTCGGACAGGAACGTTAGCCGCTCCTCCACCTGCCGTGCCGGAGAGCGCCGCGGGCATAATGTTGCTCTGACCCTGAATCAGGTGAAACATGCCGCGTGCAGGCCTGGTCCTTCAGCTTCTCACCGAAAACAGTGGTCGCTTCGTCAGAAAAGCAATCAATTCGGGATGCTAGGGAACACTTGTTCGCCAAGTACCTGGGCTTGGGCTGGAACATTGGCATCATGGGAGCAACACAGACTGGCAGGCGTCATCCATCACGCGTCGTAGCATGTATGGCCCGGCCTAGATATTCGGCCCTTGTTCTTCTGCTGGGCACGGCCAATGAAAGTCGAGTGGAATATCAATCCTCGCATCTGCTGACAGTGCTAGCCGCCTTCTTGACAAACAAGTGCCATTGAAACTGATCCCTCTTAGAACACATGGTACAGCTTGTGAAGTCAAGCCGCCATACTTTGGAGTGTTGCCCTGCAGAGAAGAAGCTAAGCACTCACACAAAAAGAAGAGCTTCACACACGCAAGAAGACTCTTAGCGCAGATCGGCTTTTTTGTGGGGCCTTGGTCTTGATGGCGCGGAAGAGCGCCTTCTCTGCGCCCAAGATCTGGACTGTAGAAGCCGGGTACTTTGCCAGGTTGGTGAGGCTCCCTGCTCAGCAAAGCATATCCAGAAAAAAACACCGGGCTCCTTCCCTAAGAACCAGCGCCTGCATGAGAGATGAGTCTCGCTCCGATGATCTCACCGATCAATGCCGCCAAGTTGGGGGCAACCAAGTCCATCTTCGCCTCCGAGGGGCAAGCATGCTTGGAACGACCAGCTGGAAGCTGAGGACTTTCCGAAAGGGAATCTCGAGGAATTCATGGGACTCATTGATATGAGTCTCCACGCATCTCCACACGAGCAGTGTCCAAACAAGCAACACGTTGCATTCCATGTTGCCTTGAGGTACTCGTGCAGTGTCTTTCGCCTGAGATTCTAGTCACCATAAGAGCCGGATGGCGAGCAGGGGGTGGAGGTGCGAGGATTCCGACAGATGTCTCAGTCATCAGCAGGGCATTGTGTCGCGAGCCATACAAGCATCCCCGCAAGGGATGGTCCTGGCAATGAGCCTTGTTGAGATTGCTTAAAAACTGCAACTGCTGGTGGCGGGGCTTCGCAAATGCATCGGGCATGGTGTTACCAGCTTTCTCTCGGCATCATGCTTGCATGCCGCATCGAGCGTGTAGATCATGGGGGTAGCAGGGTGTTGCGACATCTTGCGCTGGGCACGGAGCGATCAGCCTTTCTAAACAAATATGCCGGTGGACGAAAGCCAGCTTGGCTCGCGTGAAGCCGTGTAACGAGAGAAGGCCGGGGCCGCAACGGAAACCGGCGAAGGCAGTCACGTCAATCCGGCGCGCCGCAACCCAAACCGAAGCACACATCCCAAAAACGAGAGAAGTCAATCGCGTTCATCTTCTCCCCAGCCTTCTACAGAATACCCCACCCAAGGATTTACACGATACGCAAGCCAAGGCTCAATACACAACCAAGGCCCTCGTAACAAATCGCAACACCCCCACCCACCTCCCCCACCAGTCTTTTGTGACCTGCAATACACAATCCAGGCTCGAAACAAGGCGTACACCCCCAAGTCTTCTGCGCTCTTTATATTGTACACAGGCCAAACCACCCAAAGTCTTCTGTGATATTATGTACAATACACAAGCCAAGGCTCGTAGCAGTTCGTGCCACAACCAGTGTTTTGTGATCTTTCCACGATACACAAGCCAAGGGTCAATGCACAAGCCCAGGCGCGTAACAAATCGCAACACCCCCCCGCCGTCTTCTGTGATCGTTACACAACACCCAAGCCAAGGCTCATAACAAATCGTACTCCACTGTCCTCTCTCATCTTTAGACAGTACACAAGCCAAATCTCGCAGCAAATCGTACCTTCCCAGTGTTCTGTGATCTTTTTACACAATACGCAGGTCACAAGCCAAGGCTCGTAACAAATCGTAACCACACTGCTCTTCTGTGATCTTTGCATAAAACTCGGGCCAAGGCGCTTACGACCCAGGCATCTGGGATTTTGGCACAATACACGAGCCCAGGCTCGTGATGAATCGAACTTTCCAGGGTATTCTGTGATCTGCACACACTGCACAACTATTCGCGTCGGTATATGCGAATATGTGTGTATGTGTGTGTATATATATATACACACAACATTACACAGGGACGAGATTGCCGTTGGAGCCCAGCTGCGCGGAAAATGTGGACGCGCCAGTTTCCGTTCAGCCCTGCCCGTTCGCCTGCTACGCCCCATCGCGGGTTGCGTTCCCGTTCACACCCCCCTCCGGTTTTCGCTATGGCATATAGCCACCGGAGCTTGTGTCCTTGCCTTAGGAAGACTGCCGGTCTTTGGTCTGGGCTTGAGCTGCAGTGTCGTATCGTATTGCTGGGCCGCGCGGTCATCCATTCCCTGCGGACCCCGCGTTAGCAGCATGCCGTGCATGCCCTGATTAGTGAGCAACTGTCACCAGTGCAAGCCAGGCACATGTCTGCAAGCTTGATAACCTCACTTGCAAAGTGATCGATGTTCTTCATGTCCATCTCGACAATGTCCTCCAAGAAGAGGAAAACATAAGCTTCAATCTGTTCACAGAAGCCTAAAGATGTATACAATCGCAATAAGCTTCCCGGTACACACGAGCGTGGGCTATGTCTCCATATGGTCCTGGCCCATGGACATCTTCAGCGCTTTCCTGAGAACTGCCGATTTCTGCTGCAAAGACATGCACAGAAGTGGAGGCCTGGGGCACCACGGCCGGAGAAGCAACTTACTAACAGCCAAGCATCAAGATTTCATCTGCAACGTCTTCTGATCCACAGGCTTCTGTCAGAGCCTCTTTGTCACCTGGTGCGCAAAAACGGCAGGATTTCCTGCGTGCCTGTAGACGAAATCTGAGAAGGATTTAATCTTCGCGCGCGGCGACTGTGACTGAGGGCTTCGGGCTGGCGCCACGCAAAAAAGACTTTTCTTGCGGCGGCGAAGATCATTGAGAGTCCTGCCGCCTGACGTTGGGATTTCCACAACCCTAGGCGCTAGACAGTTATGGCAGCTTGAGGGTCACTTGCGCGGCCGCCTTCCTATTCCCGCCATCGTGCGACCACCCACCCCTCTCAGCAGGCCACACACGTCGCAGGAACCTGTATCACACGCTCCCATTTTGCGATGCCCTTCTGCAGGACCGAGAAAGCTATCCCAGACTGCAGAAGCAATCCAAGAAAGGGACCAAGACCCCATTATGTAGTGTCGAATGTCGGAGCACCAGGCTGCAGCAATACAAATATGTCATGACCCATGACTCCCGAACACACTTCGACTGCTGTCGCGAGACAGATGTGTAGTTCTCTAAATCAGTTTCCCCCTATTCCGGTTTATAAGGGTGCCGTGCGAAAGGGGGGACCTCAAGTCAAAAGGAACCCGAATTCAGAGAACTGCCCGGATCCTACACAACAGTACGCAAGGCTCTTTCGACTTGCCCGGGCCTTCGAAGTTGTCCCTGACCTTGCCGTCAAAACGTCATGTGGATAATGTAAAGTAAAACAACATAACAGAATACAATTTGACATAAGTTTAAGATGACACAATACTATCAATACAATATAGCATGAAGCCCTCACCCTAAACCCAAATTGCGAGACATGGGCAAAAGACAACCCTTTGCAGGATCCCCGTTGACAGATGTGAGAAGCTCGAGCCGAGCGGGAGGCTTGAGGACGTGGCCCGGACAACTCGAGAGACCTTTGCATAGGCGATGTTGTCTGTGACAATCTTCGTGAGCTCCGGGAAGTGCCACGCATACCACTCCTGCTCCCGGCAGCGCTTCAGGCAACCGCATCTCCCAGCTTTATATAACCAGATCTGCGGCACAGACGCTAGGCCAAGCCGCTAAGGGGATCTTGCGGGGCCTTTCGGGAGATGCTCATATCTGTCGCGAAATGCTGCTTCTTCGTGAAGGGCGTCAAAGACTTTCAGTTATGACACAAGGAAGCCGGCACCCTTCTAAGGAGGCCGAGGAAAACTTGCAAGCAAGATGCCCGAACTCGCATTGCAAAGGTGTTTATGTTCCTCAGCAGCTGCGGACAATAAGAAGATCTGTAACTTTCATTGGGAAACTTGGCAACACCAGGCTGAGACCAGGCTGAGGATGCGTCTTGTCCAGGTTGTCCAGCAAGGCGATGGTGTTCATGATGGGCTTGTCCTGCCCAGTCTTCACCGAACGTCTTATTCGTCGTCCCCGAGCTCCACGTCAGTAATCTTAGCAACCGTTAACACACATACTCGAGGTGTGGTGTCCTGTCTGTTCGGGTCCAGCTGCATTCGTGCTCGGCTGAATGCATGGCCCAGTCCAAGCCGAGCTTTGTCGAGATCGCCTTCATTGAGGTCCTCCGTTTGTAGCGATCCGACATGCAAAAAGGAAGTCGGTCGACGACGCTTCCGTTTAAGCATCCTTGACCAAGCGGTTGAAATGCAGGCGGCAGCCTCGCAGCAGTTCCTGACACATCCAAACCAAGACGTGGGGGGTGGATCGCGAACGCAAAACACAGAAACTCCGTCTCTCCTTCACCGACTGGCCGTGAGCAATCGGGAACTGCTCGGCCAAAGCCTGTGTCGAGGCCCAAGTCGCACCTGCAAAGCCTGCAAAAGGAACCGCTCGCGGCCTTTCCAAGCTCCGGATCGTAGACGCCCAGCCTGGCACATGGTGGCTGCAAGCAACAGCCGCCAGATACACCAATAGGAGAGGGGAGCTGGTAGGTCTTCTTCTTCTTTGGCAGGTTCATCTCCAAGAAGTTCACCTTGCGCGCGAAACTCCAAGCAATCAGGCCGGAGCCCAGTCCCATCTGAGTAGGCAGGCAAGTCACGAGTTCCTCTGTTGCAATGCCAGCTGAAATGGAGTTCGCTTGGTTCAGTGCATCCTCTGCATCCCGGAACCTCGGCATATCAGTAAGCAGTAAGAATCTAATCCAATCTGCTGTCACCGATCTTTCTTGATGCATGTCGCCATCTTCGTCGGAACATGTTCTCTCAAGACGACTCCTGCTGTTGTGCACCCAGTGCTTTGCACTTTCCTTCCAGATGTGTGGAAACCCGGGGGGGGGGAGGGTTGTGTCAAGGGCCCGTACCTTGCCCCAGGATAGCAAGCATGCCTGATGTACCCAAATCTGCCCAGGAACTGTGTCCATGCATGCAAGGAGACGATCTTGCTCACCTTCTTGGGGTCGAGGAGTGAGTTCTGCACCTGTTGAAAACAGAAGTTGGCGGTGGACGGTGCGCAGGGTTGCTCTGCCACTCCCACTCCGCCTCCTCCTCTGTTTCGGCTGTCTCTTCGAACTCTTTCTTGAGAAACAAAGCATAACCTGAGCTGCCGAGCCAGAAGAGTCAGCTCAACTCCAAAGACCGCCTGGATGCCTGCAGCGCTCTCATAGAGCAGGTATGTTGTCATTGGAGCCTGGTGCAGAAACACAAAGACTCAACGAATCTACTGAGCCGACGCTTCTGATCAAAATTGGCCTCTCAGCCGGCTCCGGCAAACTTGGGTGCAGGTCGCATTGGGGCTCAGGTACCGTCCCCGAGCCGCTTGAGAAGGCAGGAAGAGACAACCGGCAAGATGACAACATGAAAGCTACAGCATGCCCTCTTGAAGCATCTCACGGCTGGACTGGAGGCCGAGGTTGCAACTTGGCACAGAAGGGACTGCTGTGGGTCTTTTGGCCGGCTTGGCCTGCACCTGGTTGTCAACACTCGGGCGCCGCGGGCTGAATTTGACGATTGCTTCCTACTGCCGGCCTCTGATGCTTCGTCCGAGGACTCTCCACCTGAAGCACACTGTTCGGCTCCCATGGCGTATGCAACATAATTTTCTGACGGCCCCACCCAAATCATCCTGTGCCGCTGCACAGATGGGTTTTTTCCTGGGCCATGAGCTGATCTGCTGTGGTCAGCCTATGTCACGAGAGAACGTGGTCAAGTGACGTCTTCATCCTTTCGTTTGGGATGCCAGTGGCCTGAAGCCTCGGCCTTGGGCGAAAGACATCAGAACAAAACCAGAGGCGGTGCTTGTCTCCATTCAGGCTGCTGCTTCGGCGCCGGTCTTGGCGCGGGCTGACTTGAGCCATGCTGTGCGGGACAACCACAGGGTTGCAATGGGGGACCTGGGCACACCTTGCTTGCTTTCAATGCGGGTGACACGAAGGTGACGCGAAACTTCAGGGGCTGTTTATGTTCGCCGACAGCGCCATGCGCTTTTCTTGTCATTCTCGAATCGTGCAGCGCATTTACCGTCGAAGGCAAGCGAAAACATGCAGCGAATGGGATCGAACTTCCCCGCTGGGCGTGGGACGGCACGGGCCGGATCGGATGAGTCTTGTTGCCGCAAGGTGTCTGGCGGGGCTTCGAGAGATCTTGGGTCAGTTGATTGGCTCGAGCAAAAAAGTATGCCCTTCAGCCTGTAACATGCAACCGTAAACCACATAAAACGCAGGACCAAAACCAATATGCTGAAGCCTGAAGCTTAAACCTTAAAAAGCCTTATAAAAAACTCTACACCAAACACAAGCCCGAAATTCAAGCTAAACTCCTCAAGCGTGAAACTGCTCTCGAACTGCATCGTCAGCCTCAACCCCCCTTGAATTCAATTTGCCGGAATTCCCTTTTCTTGCCTTTCTTGCGGTGTTCCCTTCCGTTTCTGGTAGTTTAGTTTGCCTTCGGTCTTTGGCCGAGCCGGTCGAGCCTTTTCTTGCAGGCGAAGCAAGCCTAAACTTATGATTCGTGCTAATGTATCTTGCAACGAGGGATTGTTCGTCATAAACTTGTGGGCGTACTACTGCTTCACCTGTCATGACCCTCGCTTGCTTCCATCTGGTGCAGTACGTTCAACAGCAGCTTATGCTCAAAGTACATCATATTCCAACCCTTAGGCGCATTCCGCACTTTTTCTCCGCATCAGGGCTAGAAGTGGATGCGTGACGAGTCGCGATTTCGAGTTGTCAACGGGTGTGGCGGGTGGGCCGCTAAACGGTGCATGACCGGCTGAATATAATTTGTGCAATCCAGGCTAAAGAGAAACCAGCAGAGGAATCGCTCAGCACTGCATCACGTTTTCCGCAGCTACAACTGTGGCTAAAGGCCTTGGGAGGTAAAGGCCAGAGTCAGCCGGATGTCACAGGCAACGATGCACAGCGAAAGCTTTATCATACCCTTAACTTTCTTTTGTTGCTAAAAGGGCGCTACAGAAAGTTGAGCTGTGCATGGCTGGCTGCTTCATCCGTCTCGCGAAAAGAAAGTCACGAGTACAGGTGCTGGTAAGGGCAGCAAGCTGTGCTGGTTGGCCTCTTCGAGGTAGCGATTCTTTAGCTCAAGCACGCGCCAAGCCAGTTCACCTGAAGGTAACTCGTAACGGCCAAAAGTGGTCCTGAGGAGTGGGAACTCTGCGCTGCTAAACCTGGGCTCTGGAGTGCGAAAGCTCTTGGCACCGTGGGAGACGCGTTGACGCCCATGGTCCCTTGGTGGTGCCAGCCGCGGTCCTCAGCGAACTTCAGGAGGAAGCCCAAAAGCGGGTCGCTGCCGTCCACAGGAGCCCCAGGTAGTTTGGCACCTTCTGCGACCTTTGGCACCACAGCACGCTTGCCCTTCGACACCTGCTTCACGAAAGTGGGGCTGTACTCGATACTCCAGATGCCGCGCCTGAGAGTAGAACGGAGATGGCCCACATCCATGTACTTTGTCCCGGCATCGCAGAACATGTTGCTGGTGGCCGTCCAACGTAACACGGTGTTGGGACGTCGAAGCATCGCACGAAGCCAAGCCACCGTAAAGGCAAGCGATTTCTGGGAGCCAAAAGAGCTCGTGTCGCTGTTCCCTTGTCAAAGACGTCCTTGGCATCGGCGGTCTGGATAAGCACCTGTGCCGGCGCGTCGGCGAGCAGGGAGATATACTCCTGAATCCAAGCATCACCTGCACAAGTCCGATTGCAGGCGCTGTCCAGGGCTCCGACCACGGCCTTGTCAGCAACATTCGCCGTGTTCGCAGCAACGTTCACCTCGGCGCAAACCACCGACATCTCAAAGGCCTGCTGCAGGGTCCGGCCGGTCTCGCCACTGATCATCATCACCTCCCCGGGGTCACCATCGCCGGCCTCGGTCTGGATCACCTCATTTTCGGCAACAACCTCGGCAATCTCGACGCTCTTGGCCGGCCGAGCCTTAGCCCGGCCCAATCCCTGCCCAGGTTTGGTGCAGCCTTCATCTCCAGCCCAATGCCCGGGAAGCCCACAATCGAAGCAAACATGTTTCCCGTCCTTCTTCTTGGCTTGAATGCTCGCAGACCCTCGCCCGCGACCTTTCGCGGGAGCGCCGCTGCCAAAGCCCGGCCCTTTGAAGCCGCGATCTTTACGAATCTCGGCCAGCTTCACGCGGGCCTCTCTTATCGACACCAAGGCCTCGGCGCTGGCCTCAATCCCATTCTCAAGGGTTTCCAGGTGAGAGGGTCAACCCCCTCGGCTTCCGCCTGCTCACTGCTCCACCTCAGTCTGCAGCACCTCCTCCAGGGCCAGCCTCGCCGGCCGGCTCGTCGGCGAAGAGCTCGGGGATCTCCTCCGGCTCTTCCTGCCTGGAGGGAAAGCGCCGCGCCAACTGCCCAGCTGAAGACGGCAGCGAGGAAGCCGAGGATCGCCTTGTAGAGGGTGCGCCGCTGCTCGTGGAAATTGAGGGCGGCGCCGAAGAAGACGAAGAAGGAGCAGCAAACATCCTCCGAATGGTGAGCTTGTTCGAAGGGCGGTCTAGCCGCCTGAACAGCGGGTCCTGAGAATGCAAATCTCTGAAAAGTCTAAGAGACTCTGCTTCGATCGTGACGTAGTCCTCGGTGCCGCCCAGAGCGGTTTCTAACAATTGTTTTCTCAAAGCATCTAGCCCGAGCTTCTCCTTATAAAACCATCCAAGTTCAGCATCAGGAAGCTTGACCCCTTCGGACCTAAGGTCAGAGATGCTGGTCCGGAAGCGGGACGAATAGTCTGCGACCCTCTCGCCCGGCTTGCGGCACATGTGCAAATAAAACTGTGCCCTCAATTCTCCTCGCTTGTCCAGGGTAGATTGGCCATTCATCTTCTCGAGGGCATCCATGAGGCGGTTGATGCCGAAGAACGGATCTTCGGGCGTAATCTCCACCAGCTCCCCCGAATCAGGGTCTGTGTAAGACTCGCCCTTTTGACACTGAAGGTCTTCGGGAGAAAATTCCTCCCCTCGCTGCCTCACCGTGCCGCTTTGCCGAAGAAGCCATCGCGCCGCCAGGTTGTACTTCTTGGTGGCCTCAGCATCCAGGCTGGAAAGCCACCACTGCATCTCCCTCTTGAAGGCTCGCCATGTCAGAGGGGAACCGTCCCAAAAAAGAACTTTCCCCCAAGCCCCATAGCCAGAGTCGCCGCTGCCCTTGTCGTCCATGAATTCGCTCGCTTGCACAAACAGTAGTGAAACAAATCGCCGGAAGGCCAAGCAGCGACTCCGCAGGAGCTGCCGCCGGGCTGCCCAGAAACCGAAGAGGAAGGCAGGTCGGAGAGAACACAAAGTGCGCAGGCTGCCCTGTTACGAACTCAGCGCTCCGCTACCACTGTGCAATCCAGGCTAAAGAGAAACCAGCAGAGGAATCGCTCAGCACTGCATCACGTTTTCCGCAGCTACAACTGTGGCTAAAGGCCTTGGGAGGTAAAGGTCAGAGTCAGCCGGATGTCACAGGCAACGATGCACAGCGAAAGCTTTATCATGTTTCTTCATGTTCCAACCCTTAGGCGCATTCCGCACGTTTGCTCCGCATCAAGGCTAGAAGTGGATGCGTGACGAGTCGCTATCACTCCACCTTGAATATGGACGAGCTGGAACATCAACCCCTTTCGTCGGGAAATATGAGGCGGGAATACGAAGCTCTCGGTACACCGCCTTTACACATCCCATGGCTAGCATAACAGCAAAACACACACTTCCAGATTGGAACATCTTCAAGGGTCGGCCGTTTGTAGTCCAGCCACGCACCGTGATGCCTGCAAAGATCCTGGAGCTTCCTCCAGATGCGTTTGCCAACGACGTTATCCCTGTGGTGGCAGTCTGTCCCCCTCTGGCCATCACGGAGTTCACCTTCTTGTCGGGGCCCCTGGCCGGCGGTCTATTGCGCCCTTTCCAGAACCGCCCTTCAGTGGACGGTCTCTTGCGAAGTGTCCCAGCTCGTGGCAGTTGCAGCATCGCTTGAAGGTCCTCGGAGGAGTACGTAGAGCCCTTCCCAAACCTATTTCCGTGGCCTTTACCTTTCGGTTGCTTGTTGCGGCTTTGGTCACGTCGCCATGGCGACGATGAAGAGGCCAAAGGGGAGTCATTGCCAGTTCTATCGCCGGGAAAGAGGTGAAGAGCTGAAGGCCAACCTGGGCGAGAAGATCAATACTTCATCAGTCGAACCCTCTCGGAGTTTCAACGTGAGATGATATCCTTGAAGGACGTTGCAACATTGATGCGGTTTGACCAGGTGGCAGCGATGCTAAGGGCTCTGGATCGTCCGGAGATGATTGCCCAAGTGGTGGGAGCTTCCCTCGGCCCCAGCGCTTCCAAGCACAACCCGGCGATATCCGGAGATGTTCCTCCCTCGTCCATGCAGTTCTTTCAAGAAGAGGACAACCAGCAGTATGAGGATCCTGATCAAGGAGGGCCAGACGAGAGCGATGATGAAGAATCGCAGGAGCTCCAGGAGGACGAGATGTACTTGGAGGACCGCGAGAACGAGGAAGACGGGGCGATCTTCCTGCAGGCATACCACTCTGCCTATGCGGATGTCAGGAAGGACATGCGCGACAGAAGGCGGGAGCATGGGTTCGTCAAGCACAACCAATCCAGGCCGTCTCGTCAATGAGGGCGTTGAGCACAAGGGAGTACCTTGATGGCTTCAGGAGTTCTCCCATCGGGATTTGATCTGCTGTCTTGCGGGGTTGGGAATTTTCCTGAAAGCTCTGAAAAAGTCGCAGCCCCCATCTATCTCGACCAAGATGACCAAGGGTTGTTTCGGCTTGCCACAGCGCCTGAAGTTTTAGCCAGGCTGACCATCTGTTTCCTCTCGCCGGTGATCACGGCGATGAAGCTCTCTCCTTGTCACCGCCGTAGAGCTTTTCGGTGGAGCAATTCCCAGCACATCGAAAGCCGAGTTGGCCTTCGGAGAGCGTCTCGAGCTCGTTGATCTCGGCTCATCTAGCCGTCGGGATGCATCCGCTGCGGAGTTCATGGGCTCATTGCTTGCTGGGTGATCCATGGGTAAGGTTGACATTGGCGCCGCTGCATTCTCGAAGTCGGCGCGAAACTCGTAGGTGGTGTCTACTTGGTAGGGTTGAAGCAGGATGGGCCTCCGAAGTTCGGAATGCCGAAATTGGGCAGCCAAACGCCAACCCACAAAGGAAGGGTGCACTTGATGTCCCTCCGGTAGCCAGAAGGGGCGGCTGCATGGCCTATTGACGGGCGCCCATTGCGATCCATGGTGGTCTGCCTCCATTGGGAGAGCTTTGTGGAAAAGGAAGGCTTGCTCTTTGCCACTCATTCCTTCCTTGAGGAATATTGAAACCTGGGCTTTTCCAAAGGTAGAAGACACTGAAGCCGCCCCAACCTGCTTCATGTAGCGCACTGCGCCGCGAAGCGGCCGTGTCGTCGCCAGCTGCTTGGCGAGCACTGGGATTCCTAAGCAGATACTTCTTGCCCACGGATCATCCATGGCTGTGTTGCTGACCGCTCCGCTGCCAACTGGTGGCAATCACGTAGTTTTCCTGTGCAGCCTCAAGGCCTGCAAGAAACGGGTTCTGTCATGACTGCATGCTCTCCCGGGAAGGCAACCTGAAAGTCACAAAGCCACAGCGTGTTGCAACGGACGAGGGACATGCATGGGGGTTTGAATGGGCAAAAGGAACAGATCGGACCCACTCCACACGACAGGAATCAAAGAAGCGGACACCGGCAGCCTATAGGGCCCCCGCAAGAGACAAGTCGTACCAATCTTGTCCTACCTCAAATTCGTCTTTTCCCTGTGCTTCTGCAGCTGCAACCTGGAGGAAACGTGGGCGCTACAGCACCGGGTGAAACAAGTTGCACCGCCAGCGTGCTGATATGGCAGTGTTGTACACATACTCAATGCATGAATAGCTTCCACATTCATACTGACATTGGAATGTTAGCACATGGTGCTGTGCAAATCTTAACAAGCACATGGCCCTTGGACTAGTTAGTTACCGCGATGCAGAACACGAGCGTGCAAGAAATCATGCGTGCATGCTTCAAGCATGCATGCAAACTTCCTGCAGAAGACACTGTCTGATTGTCAAGGTTGTTTCTTCACTGGGCCCTACATTTGGGCAAGCCTGCTTCTTGCTCAACTCCCTGCAGCTATCACAACCTTGCTGAACCAATGGGTCTTTCAAACATACAGAGTCATGGTCTCTGCTGCTGCACATCTATGAATCGTGTCAGTCATTACAACACACGTTGCAAAGAACTTGGTGTCATTTTTTCGCAGCAGCTGTGGACAGCCAAACATATGACCGCGGGCTAGGAGTTATCACATGTCCCGGGAGGCATTAATTGTAAAACAGCGTCAGAGTATAGCGCACACCTCAGGATGTCTTGGGCGAGTCATCGACAGATTCACGCAGCTATGCTCCAGCGAGATGCCGCCGAGACACTGTACTCTTCTGAGATGCCGAAGCACGCTGACTGATTTTTATGTTCTGCCGCTGATACCAGGCCGCTATTGCTTGGTTCCTTGGAGCCGAAAGACGTGGCGGTGCCTAGTCACCGACTGCTCAGTCAAGAGACAACTCCATCTTTGAGATCGTTCCGTCCCGAAGAATGTCTGCCCGGTCAAGAACGAAATCCTCGGAGCAAACGCCCAAGGAAACTCTGGCTGGAGAGTGAAAGCGTTCAACTAATGAAGCAGGACCGCGGGCTGTTGCTGCATGCACTCGAAACTTTTGCCAAGCTTCTACGTCCTCCTCACTCACGTCCTGGGGGCGAACTGCACGTTCAAAGCAGTCCCAAAAGCAAGTTCAACACTGGCTTTCAGCATGCGAGGCATAGGAAAATCCATGAAACCTCTGTATGACGGAAGCAAACGACTGCGCACATGTTACTGGTGTTGTGCGTGGTCGTGGGAAAAAGAACTGCCTCAGCCTACCCGGCAGCAAGAGAGCCCGAAAGTCAGGCCTCTTCGGCGCTGAGCTCTTCGAGGAGCGCCTGAAGCATCATCAGCAGGCAGTCTGAATCCCGCAGGGTAGTTTGCAATGGGTTTTCGTTGTCGGGAGTAGGGTTGAAAATTCAGAGCAACTTCAAATCATGCTATCTGAAACCTTCCAGCATCACATAAGCTGCCGGTGGGTCTCGAAGAGACTCCATGTCATGGCCAACTGCTAGGCCATTGGTGCTGGGCACAGTCTGCGCAGGCCTTAAGCTGATCTCGGTCTAGCCTTCCGGTGCTCTCTGGATCAAATTTCCTTGGGTGTGCATGTAACACACGTAGACATAATCACCAAACATGACATAACAGCCTCCACAATCGCCACATGAACTGCGCATGTGCAGTGCTCAGCATTCTTATTTTTGCACCAGCCCTTCCTCTCGGAGAACCATCTGTGAATCAATCCACTGTGAATACTGAATATTCGAACAAGCAGATACATTGAAAACCGATTGAAGGCTGTAGAGCAAATTGAACACGGACTGAATCCTGAAATGACGTCATCAAGTGCCCGTAGGTGCGGCGAGGCTCTTGAATAGTATCACGCCCATACTTTTTTCATTTGCAAACCTTGACCATCAGCACGTGTCTAGACTGCAGCCACTAAACAGCTTCCACATGCTTTCCGGCAAGCGAAGTGGAGCCTGAGTGCCTCACGAGGATTGGTAAATCCGCCAGCATGTCACAGCAGACATGAGATTGTCCCTGCCAATCTCAAGGCTTCTGGTATCCTCAATGGAACGATTGATCAAAAATACACTGGATCGCAAAAGCACGTGGACTCTCCCTGGAAAGTTTTGCAACAGTTGACGAGTGGCCGCTCTAGTCCTGCCTGGCTGCACCGACCCTTCACCTGCGTCTTACAGGGCTGCTCCGGAGCCGTCTCAGTGCTCTCCTTCCTACAGTGAAACCCGCCTGCCATCTTCATGACAAAAGTAAGCTCCTCCTCTGTCGGCGGGTGGCCCTGCGTGTGAGCAAGCCAAAGCTACAAAGACATCCACTGAGCTATACTCACGACCGCAATGGCCTTGTTGAGCTGCCGCAGGAGACTTTTGACTTCAGATCGGTCGAGGGAACCACTGCCGTTGTCCTTGCGACAATCTCACAAACCAGCGCAGCTAACGGAAAGGCAAGCCACACTGTGAAGCCGAGGCACGTCCAGGCGCTCAAAGATTTCTCGCACCGTCTCATTTCTTTGTTCTTGTGCTATGTTCTGCGCATCATCGCCTCAGAGACGCCAAAACATGCCCGGCGCCGATGCTGTCACTAGAACAGAGCATGCTCTGGATCAAGCTGAGTACACCTTCTTTTGAAGCAAGCTGCGCAGTTCAGCAACCTTTTGCGCGACGACTGCCGCAGACATGCAGTGGGCGTGGCATGAAGTTACCACACCATCATGCTTGAGCCAGAAGGCCTGATACTTCGAGTCTGGATAAGCGGACAACGAAATTATGCCTCTCACTTCTTACGTAGCTGCTTGCAATCATGGGCGTTGTTTTTTCAGCACTGGGCTCGCGCTGGTTCAAGCAAGCTTGCTGGATTCTTTGTAGTACCTGGAAAGTCGCAGCATGCACTCGCAGCACGAAACCACGAGCACGTACCAATGCACGACTGCTTTGACAAGGAGCATGATGTACTCAGGATAAATCTGCGAGGTGTCGTACACAACGAACTCCCGCGTGTCAGTGCAGCCCAATATGGAATCCTGATGGCTTGGTGAGTCGGATATATGAGCAGCGCAGCGAGGGACTTGTCAAATGAAGCAAGCGTCCACGTTTGGATCATCAGCGAATCGATCAGCACTTCTATCTTGGCCCTTAGGCAGCATCTTTACATTGCCCAGAGTGACTCTGCATAGGAGCATGATCTTGCAGTCATCCTCCTTGGCTACAGTACGGCTTTTGCACGCAGAGGTTGTTCAGTCCAAAGCGTGCTGCCTGTGCACACGGGCTACTTCCAAATCCATGTCCCGCCAGCCAGCTCAAGTCAGAGGGTCCGTCCTGCCTTTCGCATACTGATTGCTTTTCTTGGCATCATCTGCGAAATAAATACCAGATCCGAAGCATCCACCACTGCTGGGCAAGAAATTGCTTCGGGAAATCGCTATAGCTGCTTCTTCCGATGTTCCTCGCATTGGCAGGGAAAACTCTGACAACGAGGCGCCCAAGTCACGTCGAAAGGGTGAAACCCTCAGGCTAAACCTTCTGGCAGTGGACCATGGAGCAACCAGACCTCGTTGACTTTGTGGTCCAAGGTGGTGTTGGCGGAGTATTGAATGCTTTCGGCGGTTTCCTGCTCAAGGCACACAGGCACAAATATAACGGCACAAGACATGCTATCAGTGGACCGTCTAAAGCACATTGCCGCCACTGTTTCATGCATCCAAGCATCAGGTGAGACATGTGCGCAACTGACGGACTTGTCTCGAAGCCTGGCCGCAAAGATCGTGATCTGAATCGAACGAAGACCTCTGATTCCAGTGCCGGCATGAGGCTGCGCTCGCTTGGCGGTGTACTTTTCCCACAAAAGAGCATCCTCAATTCGCTGGCACTGAACCACTTCCCAGTCTGGGAGTCTGCGCCGAAGGATCTTTGTGCCCATCCTGGACACGTGCGGATAACCCACAACATGCAATGCCCGACACGCCACACACAAAGTCTAGCAACCACCAGATCGAGCCGAAGCTACTCTTTCACATAAGCTCCACCAACTTCTTCGTGAAAATTTTCTGGCCATGCTGATGCGGACTTCCAATACCAAGGTGGACAAACGGCTTCATTGGCACCTGTCACAATCAACAAACTTCGATGCATGATTCGTGCCGTTCACCTTCACGAGACAAGGGGCGGATGTCGCAGTCAATGTCATGACCACAAACGCCGCGCTCCTTTTTGAGATAGGCCTTAATGCCAGCATACACACGGACAGGAAAACACAAAGCACAACAGGATGTGACTGGTACTGTTAACCCTGCCCGGCTGCTGCTACTTCTACTGCGACTGCTGCTGCCAGTGGTGCTGCTACTGTATTTAATGCTGCCACTGACTACTACGACGACGCCGACGCCGAGACTACTCACTACTACTACCTCGTCTAGTCGTCTTCACGTGTCATATTGGTGTTCTGAAGTGATGGGGGTTCCGTTGGATGCACATGCAAATATTCCTACTTGCACGCAGCACACATCAACATCATTTCACAACGTCTTTGTGATTGTGTTCCTGCTAGGGTGTGGAGAGTTGTCCCTGTTGCTCATACAGTCTATGTGACTGCTATCCTTTAAACTGTACACGGTTCGGTGTCGTTTACTTTGCGCATCAGCCAGTGCCGTCGTCATTTAGTGCATGAGCCAAAAGCAACAATAGCTCTGGCATGCGCCATGCATAAGACGAGGCACACAGCTTTTGCAACACGTTGGAAAAACCTCGGTCAGTTGCATCCAAATTCATGAATGTCAAAGCCCCTGACAGCGAAACACGACGGAAATGCCTGCCGCGCCTCCGCGGATCTCGCATGTGGTGGGCCCGTACATTTAAAAAACCATGCTCCAACTCTTGTGGCGTAAACAAAAATCTGATTAGTTTGGGACCCTCCGGTTCGTTATCCGTATTGCCCAGCTCGACGCTCAACACACCACTCATGACTGCATCGCGAGACTGGCCACTTCGCGGCTCCAAGCTTCAGGCGCAACTTGTTACGACATTATCTTCCGAAACCCTGCATACAACTTGAAGGTGACGTGCGTCCAAAAATCAAAACTTTTCCAGTTTATGTTTTTTTATACACGCGTTCGCAACGGCAACTCCAAACAGGGTCCAAGTGCCGGTGTCAGCGCCGGCCTACGGTGCTCCAAGCACGGGCAGGAGGGGGCTGGCTTGAGGAGCCTTCTGCCAGCCAGCATCCGCAAGGAGCTCGTGCAACGCTGGGGACAGGCCAGCACCATGTTCCTGCTTGATTCTGCCATCCCGTGGGTCCTACATCGGTGAGCTACACAAAGTTGATTCTGCTACGGTCGTGGCCCAAGGTGAAACGGCTGCTGCACGGAGCGCACGTGGTTTCGAACCTTCAAGAGCTTGAACGCATTGAGCTCACTACTTCACGTTTGCCGGCTTCATAGATTCGGACGGCCCCACGGATTGCAGCACTGTCGCCGGCACTATCGTCATCGCTCACGCCAGAGGCACTCCCGCCTCGTTTTCCGATGAAGCGGAAAGCCGATGATGATTTTTGCATGAATCTAAGCCAACATCGGTTGTGCAGGTGCAACCACTGCATCTCTGACCGCCAAACGTCTTGGTTTGGTTGCGGGAGCTAGATGCGCACCGAGCGTGCATCGTATGTTCAAAATTCACTCATCAGAAAACAGTTCAATAAAATACATTATATTTTTCAGGCCTCGGATTTTTCCGACTGCATGACGTCTTTCTGCACAAGCTACTCTCGGCGAGCCTCGCGCAGCGGCAACCGGGTTGGCCCCGCCGCAACGGCGAAGTCAAATCTCGTGCTTCCCCTGGCAGGAGCGCCTCGGTAGGACTAGCTAGGACCATGGTAGGCACGGACGGTTGCGACTCTGGGCTGCCGAAAAAAACGTGCGAAGAAAAAAACAAACTCAAACACGCGGTCCAGCTCTGGGCCCGGCCACTGGCTGTGGCCGAACGGGCCACAGGCTGCCGAGGGCCGTGCTCTGTGCCCGCTTGCACCGCTATGGCGAAAGCCGCCCACCACCGTCTCGTCCAAGCGGACGTGGCTGCCGCTCGCAGCACAGGCGGGGCCCGTTGGGCTCGGACGCGCGCCAAGTGTTGGACGATGCACTGCGCTTCTTCTTGCCAGCGCCCAATCTATCTGATGATGTTGACATGGCAAAGATGAACACGTCCGACCTTAGCAATATGTTGCAAGATGCGGCTGAGAGACAACTTGTCGCGTCGCTTGTGCCCGAGCTAACGCAAAAGGCAGATGCGGTCGCAGTGAAGCCAAATCTCGCCGTTGTTGTGCAAGTCAGTGACAGGCGACCAACCTCGTCAACAACACCGGGAGACCGCCGGGAGAAGTGTTTCACGTGTGCAGGCAGCATGACCAAGCGCGCTCGTGCAATAAACGCGGTAGCTTGCGGATGCTCGAATGTTGCAAATACAATGTGTTTGTACCACCAACCACATCACAAAAAACATGACCACATGCATGTGCCCGTTGTAGTCTTCCAGGTCCCAGACGGTCGTCGTTGCTGTCCGCATTGGGACGTCAAAGTTGGACCAGTCTACTTCCCAATGATCGAGCAACGTAAGCAAGCTTTCGCGATGTTGCGGAGTGGTGTGAAGGACCCGTTTTGTTTTTTTTCCGGACGTTTCTCCCTCGGCATGGACCTTGCCCCGCGCGCGAGTAGCAC